GTAATAACTTCAGCTAGCTAAGAAATAACCTTGAAGTGGAATGCCCGCTTCCAGAATGATGCCTGCTACCATCGTGGTTTGTCTAAGACTAAAGAGGTTCTTGGGATGTGGGATTTTAAGTGCTAAAACTGGGACAGTCCGAGGCAAACCAGGATAGATTGTCACCCTACAGCTACCTGAGCCATTTCCTATAGATTATAAGAACACTGTGCATAGATAATTGTATGAATATGGCATAGAAATGTATAAAATGTGGTTAAAGTAGGTTTTTGGAACTCTTTGTAGTTAGAAAGACATCTTAGATTAGCAGATGGGCATGCTAAAAGTTTGTACCAACCAGGGACTCTGCAGCTATGGTAACACATTGAAAAGCGTAGTTTGTAGATGAGATGTTGGTGTGGTGAGGTCATAGTTACCACTGATTATTATATCATTAGAAGTTGACCTCTTAACCTAAGGGCAGGCCCTTCGTTGGGGCAGGTAAGCTCAGACCAGAGATTCAGCAACATATTCCATCTCTTTCTCTGCTGCCTGTGGGTTCATAGCACAAACTTTGGAAACTGCATCAGTACTGTTCACTGCTATACACCCAATGGCTAGAACAGTGCCTGCCTGCTACCTAGTAGGTACTCAGTAAGTACATAGCTGTTGAATGAATGAACTGATGAGTCACATGCTTCAGAATCTGGGACAGGGAATGGCTTTGTATTCTCGTGAAGCCAGCATCCTCACAGGGTCTCAAACTGAAGAGTCTATTCAGAAGAGAATCTTACTCAGTTACAAAATGTTTGGAAGGAAAAATATTTACTCCTTGTCCCACCCTACACAATGGCCTGATGTCCTTCAACTTCTAGAAAGGGAACCGCACCTTTGATGTAAGAAGGAGTCTCTCTAAGGCTATCCAACAAAGGCTGCCCAACCCTTGATTTTGTCAGGACAATTGTGCATGTGTAGGCTGAAGGCAATCCACTGTGGGTGCTGTGCTTGGATGCTGTGTTGCAGTGAGATAGCCTTGTGCCCAAAGAAGGGAAATGGGGCCAGCTTAGCTCTCTGCTCAAAGTTTATTTCATCACCTCATTCGCCAAAGGCCTGGGTTTACCTCATATGTATTCTCTAATTTATTTTCACATTATTCCTGCAAGGGGGTTTATACTGGTGATGAACAACCAGAGGCAAACAAAATATTTCCCAAGTAATTGAAAAATGAGGGAGGTAAGGAAAGTTATTTTCTTTCTTGCTTTCCAGTTTGGGGAACCTCAGACCACCCTGCCCTCCACTCAGCCTCCCAGCTAAAGGAATATAAGCCCAGGACAGACCTGTTTGCAAAAAGCCCTGGAGAAAGTTGGATCAAACTATTGTTTCTGATTCTATAGATCCAATTACTTCCCCTCTTCTCCAATCACAGTAAATCTAAAGGGAATTGTTTGGAAATATTTCCTAGGCTGGAAAGAGCCATTTCACATGGGAGAGAAAATGTGGCCAAATGGAGTAAGCTGCCCTTGGCTGTTTTTGATTTTAACATAGTACTCTTGTAGTTGGGGGAACAAAGATGGGTGACTTGAAATCTAAGGCGTGGAGAGCTGAATTTTTCTATTTAGGCTAAATTCTGTGTTCGAGTGTGTTGGCGAAGGACAATGGAGACTTAAATACCTCTTGGTAGCTTCCCTGGCTGTTGAAAATATATGTATATGTATATAGCTCTTTACAGGGAAAGGACTGGGGGGCTAGAGAAAGAAGATAATTCAAAATCAATCTAGGTCTGGAATGCACAGTGTAGAAGATAAGGTGTGGAGGTGGGGAGGAATGTATTGAGTGATGGAGACAGGAAAGCAGGTTTCTGGGACTGAAACCATGAGAGGACTTGGCAATATTTTGAAATCTGTTCCAGTTCTCAGTTATTCTGTTCACAATAGCAGGGGTTTCTCTCTGCCCACCTCAAGAGAGAACCTTTGCTCACCAGCCTGCAAAGGTGAGTTGGTTGGCTGGGTTGCATGGCTACTGTGTCCAGAGCCTGGTGCAAGGGCCTGTTGAGGTTATGAGAAAGGGAGCAGAAGCAACTGGGATCTTAAAAGCTTCCAAGCAGCCATCTAGATGCAACCATGGGTTGCTCCTCATCCAGATCAAAGAAGAATGAAGAAAACCAAGGACTCATGGAAACAATTAGCCCTTGCAACTGGTACACCAAGCAATCCTCAGCCTATATGACTTTGAGACGAGAAGAACTAGATGATGCCCAGCTACCCTGTCAACCACTCGGAGGGGGATCTATGTAGGAGATCCTGGATAGAGAGGGAGAACAATGTGGAACAAAACTCAAAATCATTTGGAAAAAAAAAAGGACCAGGATTGCTGGTCTGATAGAGCCTGGTGGAACCACTGAGACTATGGTCCCTACCTGCCCTTCAAGTCTGGAATTGAACCCACACCTGTGGCTTCCAGCCAGACAAAAAACAAGCATAAGAGTTGAACATGTACCTGAAGTAGATACACTCGTTGGACAGAACAATCATGGGAGAAAGAAGGGCTGTGTATGCACAGGGAGACAGTTCAGGGGGCAGGAGTGCATGGAGGGATGGACACAGGGAAGAGATGACTATTGGGAGGAAGTGGGAGGGGAGCTGTTGCATTGACGTTAATTGTAGTCAATGTCATGAGACAACGTGTGTGAACTGCTGTATGGAAAGTGAATTTGCTCTGTAAACTTTCACCCAAATCACAATTTAAAAAAAAAGGGGGAGGGGAGCCAGAACCTTCCCTATGAAGTTTACAGACTAGCTGGGAAGAAAAAGCAGGAATTCATGGAAAAAATTAAAGCACTCTATACATGACATAGAAGCTCTGGTGGTGCAGTGGTTAAGCACTTGGCTGCTAACTGAAAGGTGGGCAGTTGGAACCCACCACTTGTGCCACAGGAGAAAAGACCTGGCAATCTGCTCCCATGAAGATTACAGCCTAGGAAACTACATGGGGGCAGTTCTACTCTGTCATACAGGGTTGCTAGGAGTTGGAATCAACTTCACAGTCACCACAACAACAACACATGTAGAAGGAGAACACTACATAGTGGAGATGGATGGTTGAGGAGAGATTAGAGAATAGGATTAAGTCTGGAGCTGGATGAACAGCTGACTGGCTCCTAGAATACCCCTAACCTGCTCTTGGCTAAGGGCCCCCTGATAATCCTATGGATTCTTCCCCATCCCTCCAATTACCCTGAGGACTTTTGCTTCTCCAGCTGAACAGTAGGGCCCAGACAGAGGCTGTAGATATAGATCAAGTCTATCAAAATTTCTAGCCTACTCAGTGACCTCCAAGATTCCTGCTACAGTTCCACTAGGATAGCAGTGGCTTTAGGAGACTTGAGAAGGGACACAACTAATGACGTAGGTTCTAATTTTCAGGTTTCATTCATATCAATAAGCCTCAGCCCACTTTTAGGCAGGCTGCAGGCACCTAAGCAGGTCCCAGGCTGTTGTCATAACTTTGTAATAATGGCACACTGGTAATGACAGACTCCATTATGAGCTCAGGATTGGCCTATATAAGAGCAAGAGGAGACAGGCGGTGGGCAGTTGGGGGCTGGAGGGGTGCAGGGAAAGGGGCAGGTGTCAGCTTGGGGTAGCTCTGCAGTAACAGAGGGAACACACACACAGGCAATTTAGCTGGTAAAGGACTCTGGACTGTTGGCAGCCTGCTCTTCTATTCTAAGGTAGGCATTGAGAAGCCATCAAGATCAAAATCCCCTTAAAGATAAGATTTTGGTACCTGCAGGCGGCATTGGTTTGACACTGCTAAAGAGAGGGTGGAGACAGCTAGCTTAGAAAAGGGTGCATTCTCTTTTCTTGCCCCTCTTTCAAGTCTGGATTTCTTCTTTCATGTCCTCTGGGATGTTGTTGTTGTTAGTTGCCATTGAGTTGATGATAGGAAAATTTAAAGAGAGGGTTTTAAATATCTTGCTAGGGAACCCTGGTGGCACAGTGGTTAAAGTGTTTGGCTGCTAACTGAAAGGTTGGTGACTAGAACTAACCAGCGGCTCCATAGGAGAAAGATGAGGTAGTCTGTTTCGGTAAAGCTTTACCTGGAAAATGCTATGGGGTAGTTCTATTCTGTCCTACAGAGGGTATCATGAGTTGAAATCAACTCACAGGCACTGTTGTTGTTGTTGTGTGCTGTGGAGTCAGACCCGACTCATAGCGACCCCTTCTTGGGTTTCGTAGGCAGTATCACTACGGAAGTAGATTGCCCAACCTTCTTTCCGAGGAGTGGCTGGTGGGTTTGAATCGCCAGCCTTCTGGTTAGCAGTCAAGTGCCTTAGGCACTATGCTATGGGCACTAGGTTTGGTTTTTCGGTTTTTTCGGGGGAAGAATGAGTACTACTCAATGAGCTGCAATTGTGGATTAATCCACTAGAGGGCAAGCTGCTCAGGGCCCAACTAAAGACTAAACAAGAATTGATAAATTCAGACAAACGACTAGATCAAACAGGAGTCCTACCCTCAAAAGAAAGGGTATTTAACAAGGGACATGGAGCACCAGAGGTAGTTTGTGAGATATTTTTAGTGTGGACATATGGTAGGGGTGCCCCAGGAGCAGTTTAGGTGGTGGGCCGGGTGTTATGAAGAGAGAAGTTGCCCAGATAGACCAGAGCCAGGATTTTAACAGTGGGCTCAGATTACTGTTTCCTGTCCTTCCAAAGGTCATTATGTGATCGCCCCTTTGGTCTTGCAGCCTGTAGATTAGGCAGAAAACAAGGAGCCATAGCCTGACAGACCAAAACTCTGTGGCTCCGACGATTAAGCAACCAGTATGTAGTTCGGTAAGGGCTTTCAGCTTTGCTCATTATTGGGCACTTGCTTCTATAAGGGAGGCCCAGGCACCTCTGTTGTCATGACAACTTACCTAATACCTATTGTCTGGGCAATTGGGGGTAAACTGACTCTGTTGTCATGACGACGATTCCTATTATATTTTCCCAGACTATCTGCTCTGCTGTAGAAGAAATGGGGTTAACAAACGAAAGTGAGGAAAAAGAACAGTTCCAGCCCAACAACTCGGAATCACTCAATGAAGGTCAAGCAGAAGAAATCCAACAACCACAAGAGGCAAGTAATGGTTTTTCAATTCCCACTTAGTTATGGGAACCCTTTTATAATGCTCCTCTAGAAAAGCTCTTGAATTTTCAACCACTAATCAGGCACTTGACT